AACTTGCAAGAATCAAGAGTGCTGACGATGCTGGACCCAAGACACTTTTAGATGGTCATACACAGGCTCCACAAACGATTCACTTTGCGATATTTTTCTACCTTGTCCATCCAGTCGCTGGTTTATTTACATAAAATTATTTTAGACGAGGCAAGCTTATCTGTATTAACGATTCAAAACCAACAAAGGAGATTGTGTAAGAGCTTTTTGGGTGTCTACTCGAAGTAATGTCTTCAAGTTGCTGCATATATCAGTCCTAATGTCAGTTATTCATTTATTTGAGCGTCGCTAGACTTATCCTACCCCTCATATGCCATTTAGATGCTAAAGTTTTATAAGGGACCTAGACTTCACGGATGGCTATTCTTCTATATTCAATTCCCAAAAACGATCACACACCATGGTCATATGTATACATCTGAGGGTTCTACTCTGAGGTCATTGCGAGTGCATTCTAAAAGTATCCTTACGTAGTGCTATTCATCTAAGCGTATCTAGCTAGTCTAGAGTCATGGGATTCGCCTTCAATGAAACGTCCTTAGCCTATCCAGCGAATTCGTTGTATCAAACACCAGATAAGTAAGTGAAATCGCCAACAGTATGTTAATACCCTGTCAAGAGTTAGAATGGGTCTTTCTAATCTACCATACTCAACATATTTCATATTTGGCGCAAGTACTTCACATTGGGTGAAGGGAAGACACACTGATATCTCTTCACTCTTCACTTAATCAGGCCAAAAATTCACCGTCCAGGCAGCACCACTTTCACCTCAGCGATAATATTTGCGCCTTGATTTCGATAAGCCGTGCTTTTTGGCCAAAAAAGGAGCCACGCCGTTCTCCGGGTTAGTCACGTGCAAGCGGCATTATAGCTTCCAAACAAACCCCGCCCACCAAACTGGCCAATGAAGATGCGACCTTGACCGGTGCTTTGCTCTCGCGGCGTGCGTGCCATCATTATCCGGGCGCGGGAATGAATCATCCAGCCTGTGACTTTAAGACCCCGAGGTCAAATGAACACGGTGGGGGGACTTAGGGTGGTGATATGGGTACGATAACACTATGCTTATCAGTCCATCACCGTCTAGGCGTGTGTGTTTACCGCACCCCTTTTTTTTTAATCCAAAGTTTTTTTGTTTGTGCGCGCTCTGCAACCACTACATCGCCTCGGGATGACCCGCCTTTAAACGTGATTTGGAGAAGGGCGATCGCTTAATGAATTAAAACTACATTTGCCATCTGCATTACAATCGAATAATGACTTTATGGAATTACATGAGTCCCATCGCCACCTATTTATTAGCTCGGGCCCGAGCACGCAGAACATGGAACAACAAAACAAATAGGAGGCAAATCTGAGTGACCGAATTGATCGTAGAAGCGAAGTTTACCACTCACGGCAGTTTATAGCATAAAATCAGGTTTATTTTGTTCGAAAAGACAAGAATATTCACAAAGAAGAAACGCTGAGGGTGGGGGGAGGGCACATTGATGTGTGAAAACCCACCGTTAGGTGTCTGAGAACCTTGCTTCATTACGCAAATACACTGCTTTATTATCGGAGCTAATTTGGAAATGCGTGCCTGAGGCACGAATAACTGCGACGTGGTGTGCAGAACCGTCGACTGCGTAAAAGTAATTACCCAACACCTGTTGTTAAACGCTAATCGGAATTAACGTAATGAATCTCACAGGCTGCTTTGCTGAAAGAAGGTCTCCAGGAGTCAATGAGATACTGGACCTTTCCAATATTTATGCGTCGACTCAGGGCAGGAAAGAGTAGGGCTAGCACTCGCTCGCGCGCGTGAACACCACCGCCAGGCCACAGGGCAGCAGGATCACCCCAAAGCCATTGTGCGAGCACCACGACGGCATGACACGAACCGCAGCCGCCATCGGTTTCTACACCCCTCAGCGGCCTACAGCCCCCCGTCCCGAAGTTACGCTAGAAAAATAACAGCACGAAATCCTCCACTGACTAAACTGCCGGTCGGCACAGGAAACAAATGTTAAATCAACATTTATTGTACAAATAAGTAACAGAAAGGTGAAAGCACGCGAAATCAGACGAAGACATTCGCTTCTGTTGCCATAGTAGGGAGCCTTGCCATATTCATCATCCCCTGATTAGAGGTAGCAGGCGGTGGCAGAGAGAGGCAACCACGAAGTGTCTAATTTACGAATTTCGAAAAGATGGCACTTCGGCCCGGGGATAGAAGACGAAAGTGAGCGATAATAATGATGACAATGGTAACAATCAAACCCTATATCGATGATCGAAATTAAGAACGTGCGAAGTTCGAATACTTTAGTGTACAGACGAATCCACAACAATGTTTCGAATTGTTGAGGGAGGGAGAGGGGGGGAAGAAGGTTGAACCTTGTGTGGAAACGCGATGGAATAACATATTTCGTTGGTAGGGAGCTGAGGGAAGGAGTGGGGTTAGGAGAGAGTAACTGATTTTCAGTCCAATTGTTAAGCAAAGAGGAGGAGTCAGGATTATTATACACGAGCTGTAAATATACAGAAATTCCAGTTAACGACCAGCAATAAATACTACTACATAGGGTAAGTTAAGGCATTTTCAAGTCCTCGCCGTTGCTGAAGTTGCGGTCGGCTCCTTCCTTTTTTTCTGTTGTTGATGTTGCTGTTGACCGTTATTGTGGTTGGAACCGTTTTTACGAGAACGACGACTGTTCCGGGGGTTAGGGTGAAGATTTTGCGGCCTTTTATATGACCCCCCACCACCACTGTTGTTATTTCCGAATCGCCTTGTCCGATTATGCCCTTGGCTTGGACCTCCTCTTTGTTGTTGCTGATGATTGGACTGTTGATGTTTACGATGCTCCATCTGAAGTTGCTCTTGCTGCGGTTGTTGAACATCGACATCAGGAAGATAGTGGACACACTGGTCATAGGAAATGGTAGAGTAGGGGCATACGTAGTAGGGAGTATCTGTTCGATTTACCCACATTTGTCGACTGGGCGAGATGACTACGGGCACGATATTGAAGAGGTGATACTGGTAAGCCGTATGCAGAACATCACAATAAACCGGTTGGGCATCTGCTGAGGGAGGTGGAAGTCGTTCCAGAAAGACAACAGAGGATCGGCAGCAAGTTTCCATCCGAACAGGAAAAACTGACACTTTCTTGTCCCCAAACAACGTTCGCAATATATGCAGAGCGGGAACATCTTCAAAAATTGGGAACGCATGTGCCCAACTAACATGAATTGCTTGAAACGGAACTCGCATGTACTTAGCCCTGGAAAAAAGCCAAAACAGGAAATTTGGACACTTTATGAGAATGTGGCCTTAAATAAAAAAGAAGAGCGCACCTACTTGATCTTACGCAAATCTGTTATGGGGGCAATAGAGAATACACCATAGTCGAGCATGAAGCAAAGAGCTAGTCGCGGCCATGTAACGATGACTTTAAGAATGACAACACGCGCAAATCCGAGACGATGCGATAAAATTGCGACTGTACCCGAAGTGACAGGCTCGTAAAGCTGCATTCGGGGTGTATTCAACGCGTAATAGTCCTTATCTAATTCCTCCTGCATTTCCAGATAGCGAGTGTATTCGGCGTCCGGGATGGTCACAAAAAACTCCTTTTGACCATAGAGGGAGCGAACCATCACATCCGTTACCTGACCGAGGGGAAGTAATCGCTGGAAGGCAAATCCACAACCGGTGGATGAGAATAAGGCAAGCCCTTAAGAGAGGCAAAAAAATTACAACCGACCTGCAATTGATTAGGATTCCCAATTGTTGTTTGCGAGGGCTTTGTGTTGAGGCGCTTATTGACCCACTCATTAACACTATCCTTATTTTCCAGGGGACAGCTGATTTTCAGGAGAAGGGAATTCTGGCACCCAGGATTCATGCTCAAAGTCATCTCCGCTTTTAAGTCAGCCCTCAGTTCGCGGACATTCTTTCCGAATCGTCCAATAAGCACACCACCCATATACGCAGGCACGTTAATGGACTCCACCCAGACTTTTTCGTCAACAGCCTTGGCCAATAAATCACTAGGCACCAGGACTCGAGGAATCAGCGTACCGTCGAAGATTTCGGGTGAGTCTTCCACAATATCGTGTTCGGGATCATTAAAAATGCCCGCAGGCACCTGAGGCACTTGATACTTGCCATCGATCACTGTACTATCTCCGGGTGCTACCTGTGCTTGATCCGAATCACTGGTCACCACAACGCTCTCACAGCTACCTGATTCCGAGGATACAGCACCAATGCTGTTTGGCAGAGTGGTAACAGCTTCGCCTAAAACCTCTGCAGATTTTGCCACTCCCGATGCGACATCTGAACCGGTCATAAGTGACGCAGAATTTGCCTGAACAACACAGACCGATTCAAGAGGTGTGAGTTCTGATACCTCTTGTTGGGCGCCATCGACGTACTTCAAAGCTCCTGAAGCTGTGAGCGTGGTTGTAACTTGTGGTCCAGAGGAAACGAGAGCAAAAGGGGTAGCCTCTTCCTGAACAGCTGTGACAGGTTCACCCAGATCCTCGGTAACAATATTTGTCAGCTCTGGTGCTTCTCGTTGAATCACATCAAGGCCCTCTATGCTTTCTGACCCTGTAGGAGTAGCGACTGATATTTCAGCAGCGGCGGAGACAGTAGGCAGAGCCTCTACAACGTCGACAGGTTCAGCCGAATCTTGCACATTTGTAGATTCTATCACAAACTGAGCATCATTGGCGCACGCTACAGTTTCCGTTTCTGTAGCAGTTGTAATTTGAGGTTCATGGGAGACAGGAGCAGTAGATGCAGAGTTTATAATATCCACAGATTCAACCGAATCCTGGATAACAGATATGAGTCCTGATACCTCCTGCTGCGCATCATCAGGGTATCCCATGACTTCTATTTCTGTGTTTGTAGCGATCTGTGGTTCAGTAGAAACTGGAGCGCCACAGATGACTTCGGAAATTTTAACAGGTTCAATCAAATCCTCGGTGGCAACAACGAGCGTAGGTTGCGGTACTTCTCGTTGGATAGTATTAAGGCACGCCATGACTACCGGTTTCACAGGTGTAACTTGCGATTCAGCCACAGATGTGGTCTGTGCAATATTTTCCTGAGTGTTTTGGACAGTTATCGCTGAACCTTCAATAACAGACGTTGCTTCCTGTGCCTTTGCCTTAAGAGACCCCAATGCAATGCAGGCAGTTTCTAGAGCATGAACAATATCGGCAGATTCAGCTAAATCTTGGGGGATAGATGTGATTTCTGGGATCACAGATTCCACTGGGTCTTCATAAGAATCCTTATCAAGAGATTTTGCCAAGGTGGCGGAATCTGGTTTAGATGAAGAAAGGGTGTCAGTAAGGGCGTTGACCTCTATTATAGAGGAGCAGTCTTTGACAGTAACAGAGGAACTTTCGGAGATTTTGTGCGCCTCAGCAACGGAATCAATTTGAACAGGGTGAGGTGGAGTGGAAATAAAAGTCTCCTCTTCAACAATCTCGCTACTCTCAGCTACTTCTTGAAAAAAAGCTCCCTCAGGAACTACGTTAGTAAGATCAGCTTCGATAGGTGGTTCGTCCAGCGGAGCAACAGATTCGTCAACTTCAGTGGAGGCCGTCAAAACGATTTGGTTCTGCTTGTCTTCAGTTACAGCAGACGCTGAAGGTCCGCCACAACTCGGTTTCTAAACAAGAAGAAGGTCATCTCATGAATTGCAATCCATCACAGCAGATGAAAACTACAGTGGGATACCAAAATTGGTACCACAATCTACCACGCAACACTACGTTCCTCTCAGCCAGCCTCGTCTTCGCAACCTTCTAAAGGTTTATTTGAGTTCTGATGCAACTTTAGATACTAGCACCATATTCTTAAATCAAATGCTATCAGGTTTTCCCCTTTCATGGGTTTTGTTAATTATTGGATACCTTTTTGTGAGGAGCTTTGTTCTTTCCCTTTGTCTTTTTCCGTTTGCGAAACGGATCTGTACCACAGCAAAGGAGTGAAGCGAAAACCATGTGCGTGAAAGCCTGGTTAGAGTTAAAAAACCAAGCATAAGTGGTCTGTTAAGAAACCCACCTGATCAGGTAAATTTTGAGAGCTTTTTTTCTTTCTGCAATAGCGAGACCAAAGGTAAAAGAGTGATGCAGAAACTACAGTAAGAGCGGTGATTTGACGATAACTGGACATGAGTCTGAAATTATAATTTGCAGTTACCAGATGACTAGTGTATACACTTTCAAGCCACTTTTACGAAATTATTAAATAAGTATTCGAAAACAGTCTAAGGGACCAACCATCTACGCAACATTTCTAGTAAAAAACTTGTATTCAAAGTAGCAGTAGCTAAACGCAACGCAGCAGCACTTATGGTTCCAGAAATTGCTCGTATAAATGGACACACTACTGCAAAGACCAGAAATGTAGCAGTAGAAAATGCTATATCATTCGTTCAGAAAGGGCCAAAGTAAAACAAATGGTGCATTCTCAAATGGTGGCAGTTTTGGCAATGACGGCTGAAAGTCTTACAATCCACCAGCAAAAGGTATACCAAAATAGTGTAACAAAATAACAGCAAGCAAAACCAACAGAGAGACACACACCCACCGACGCAACAAATTTAAGCACCTATGGCAAGATGCAGCATGAACATGTGATTATCACGCCCGGGACGTTTAAAACAAAAGGCATCGCTTCAAATTTAGTGTTAATGTAATACGATAGTGGTTTATCCCTCGGTTTTATTGAAGCGCAACTTTTGTACTTGGAATTAGCCCCCTTGTACCTCGCTGGGTGGGCTGCCTTTTGGGCCATGCCAATAGCCCAGACACCTTCTCAGTGCTGAATATATATATTCTGCCCGAGTATTGTGCCTTCTTTTGTCTTAAAGGAGTCTCGGGACGCTACATTAATATCAGAAATAAAGTAAAAAAAGAAGATCAAAAAACCAAAAATATTTGCAAAAAAGCCGATTATTGTGCACAGACTTCGCCTTGGAATTTATCGGAGTGAAATTGTTACATGAATTACCAAAATGGGTCATTGACTAGAAATATTACCCAAGTTTTGATTACTAAAATGTCCCTGCCCTGAGTGGCAAAAAAAGTTAACTTGATCTTCTCATTCTTCTTGACATCATTGCATCAGATTTGAGAAATAAGGTAGTTAATATGCAAATTGTAAAACTGTAAGTTTTAATCTTTTTGAGCCATTTTTTGCATAAATGCCTTTAGTATTTATCAAAAGTTTCAACAGGTATAACAATAAAGTTGTTTTTGCAACAGACGCATAAGGACTGTTAATTTTAGGTTTTCTGGTTTTTTAAGCTATTTGATTGAATAATTTCGAGCAAAATTTCCAGTTGTCATGGCGACGTACCTTGTGACCTCGATTGAATGTTTTGCCACATAGTGCGTGCGCATTGAACGTGTGCTCCTTAAGGCTTCCTAACCTAGCAGAATTTAGTTTGCGTTTAATAAAGTTTTAGGAGTAAATGCTTTTGCACGATTTGTGATTGCCTGTTCATGCATGGACTTGCGCCTTTTACTTGGCTGACTTATTGAGTTTGCGCTTTTTTTTGCCAGTTGTAGTATTACTTAAACCTTCTCTTGATCTTACCACTACCCCCGTTTCTTAGTTGACAGAGATTTTGAATGATGCTTTTCTTGACGCCTTGAATACTTTAGCTATGTGAACTACATTTTCTCGTTCATGCCGGTTTTTCCTATGATTTTCCCTTTAAAATAATCTTCGAAAATTACAATGTGTCGACGTGGGGAGTTTTCTCGCCTTTTGTGTTACTAGTCGTGTTTGCCAATATCATGCTGTATTTATTTTCTCTTATGCATATCTTCTTTAAACTGAAAATTCATCAAGAAATTTATTGCTATGTGCTGTTTTGTTGTTGTGCGCCCTTAAGTTTGATGGTTTTTTGCATGACGTTATAACGTTTTTTTGCTATTTAATAAAACTAGATGATACGTACATACTAGGATTCCAGCTTCTTTGCCAATTTTGAGGCTGTGTACGCATTCTTCATTATGTATAGCATAATTTTATTCTACCGCAACGCCTTATAATGAATAGCATTCGAATGATGTACATGCTTCATGTATCATAGCTGCTTAATATTGTTAAATTTTTTTTGGACGAGAAGCTTGATAAATCCGTGTGTGTAGTTATCCTGTCTCGTTGTGTTTTCATTTTTATAGAGACATTGTTGGGTTTGTTCGTTTACTGTGTCGTTAATAAGTGAGGTTTATTATGCTTTTACATATTATAATGATAAATGTGGTTTGTTCATATGCACGGATGATTTTCTTCTGTTGAAAATGTATGAATGTTGTGGCAGGCATACGAGCGCTATGGGAAAGAATGTGAATCGAAGGCATGAGGTTGGGAAGAACGAAATCCAGCCTTATCAAAACTCTGGCTCTTTAACAAAAGTACTCCCCATCAACGCAATTCAAGCGTTTCAGCAGATGCGGAAGGTTGAGGTGAGTCACTGATTATATGAAATTTGCTAGAATAGGCTTTGGTACAGATCTTCAAGATCGTTAAGCAATCCTTTCGTCCGAGCGGCATACGAATTTCATAGACAAGCAGTTGATAAACAAAGAGATCAACGCACTTTCGCATCGTAAATGTACACTAAATTTTGTCTGAATTTGGGCGCCTTATGCTAATAATGCCTTAAAGATTCCAACATCGCTCTCATTTGCGGTGAGATTTTTTCAGTGGTACCATGGGATTAAAAGGAATTTAATGTGCCTAGCCCCAACCCTAGGCACCCGCCTGGTCTATACACTTTACTAGACTTGAGGACGTCATTGACAAAGCATGACTAGATCGATCACTTGAATTAATACCATGGTCTTGGCTGCATACAGATATTCAAAGTGCTATGTACCAGTCGGACCGGCATAATCGCTTTCGAACTTTACAAGTCATCCAAAGATAGCTCCAAGACTGGTACTCATCCACCACAACTTCGAAAGAATTCCAGTCAGTCAGTTCCTTTTCACTATTTTAAGCGTTACAGAGATAGGAACCTCATGAATTTGAACTTTATGGCTAATTAGAATTAGGAAGATCTGGTTAACGCAGGCTTGAAGCTTCTACCATCGTAAAATCTAAGATCTTTCTTGCAACTGTCTGACGTTTTGATACTGATTCTTGCTTATATACTTTTTAAAAGGTAGGTGAACAGACCGCCGTTAAGGTCAAAATAAATGGCAAAGCTTTTAAATCGCAGCTCGAGCAATCACGAAGATATCTTGGAAACATACGTGAACTCCTTTTGAGGTTGGTTTTACCATGATGACAAACTACCAACTTGCAACTAAGTTTTCAAAAGTTGTCACTTTAGATCCGCTCATTTCCTTTTTTAAGACAGCGTGATGTCTGTCGCATTCAATTCCAAAGTGGTTCGAATACACTAGGTGGCACTCAGGAGGGTCAGTTTTTCCAAAAACTTCCCCATCAGACGGTCAAATTTGAAACGGGTCAGACATTTTATTCAAGCTGGACGACAAGAGAAAGATTTGTGAGTTCACTCAAAAGTTTCTTCAGAAATATCATTAAAAAAATTTGAAAAGTGGATTGTGCAGAGGTGTTCGGTAATTATTCACACGATCTTATTCAAAGACGCTAGACGTTTTCCCTTAAATTACTACATATTCCTCAAGTTGGCTGAACAATGCTTTCACATGTGGTTATCAAATGTGGGACGAAAAAAATCACAAGAAACTGCAGCATCCAATTTTTGTGATCGAAAGCTCACATCCAGGTATTTTACTGTCTGGCGATTAGCTGTATGGAACCCGAATAGACTGTAAGTTTATTTGTTGATATGCACATTAACTTCCTCTAAACAGTAGACTGAAATTTGATAGCACCTAAACGCAACTTCTTTTTAGGAAAGCAAGTAACGCTGCCATTGTAAATACTCATCGAATTTTGCGTCGTTATCTTATCGCTTGGCTGATGATAACTAGGCTTGAGAAATGTACACACATCTCGGAGAGCCGAATACACTCAATGAAGGCAAAAATTGGGAGATTCATTCAGCAGTCCATGGTACCGTTTACTCTCTCCCAACCTGAACCTGTTTCAACCCTACCAACGGTGATAAATGCTCATTTTCATTTATCCGCCATTGTTGAAGGGACTTAGGATTTATGCTAATATGGCTAAAGTGTAAAATGGGGAGTTAGTCCTTAAAGCGCTGTTTAAATTGCGTCATGACCTTTGCATTGTATCTGAGGGGAGCCAAATTCGGTAGTTATGTGGTGGTATGCGAGATCTTAGGTGAACACTCCGTGATCACTTTCCTTGTATCAGAGTAGCCCAAATTCAAAAGTTAAAAATTAAATAGTTGCTGGGTACCTACAAAGTCAATTGAGGTGATGTTTGTGTGAATGATGCTTTTCTACTTTAAGGGAACTTTTAAATGATTATTTATCTTTAAAACTTAACAGTCTTTGTTTTCGACCCACAGTTAGTTGAGCGACAGTTCCATTTTGATAAGAAAACATCTTTTACAATGCAAAAGACTCAATTACTTCAATGTCCCTTTTTTAGGTGATACTGCTTATTAAACGTCTCATTAGGTTTTTCAAGTAGTTCCTCTTAAGATTAGTCAAAAGCATTCACTGACTAGATACCCCTGTTTTCATGATAAGAAGGCAATGTAGAATGGATTTTACAACAAGGATTTTGTCCATTGTTTAAAGATTAGTCTTAAATTTTGCTATTGACATAATCGGTAGTTGTGCATCAGTATGACATTTTTTGAAGTTATAAAGTGATCATTTTATGCTGTTTTATATCCAACCTTGAGAATTTAGCAGATTTATTTATTGAATATACTGTTAACCCTACAAAGCAGAATTTTCGTAGGCATGTGAATTTTGATGTTGCATTAGGAAAATTTCGTCTTGTGCGATGAATAAGTTCTGGAAGTACATATGGAATCATCAAATAAACGGAAACTCTTCAAGTCAAACCGACCATATCTGTAGATTGATACGGGAGATACTTTACCGCGAAGTCGTGAAAATGTTGCAAACGTCTCATGTGTTTCTCGGTCTATGTACGTAGCATGAGATAGCCTGCTCTCAAACAAAAAGTCTAACGGTTTCTTGAGCAATTGAAAGTAAAACACAATGATTTAATTTCATTAAAATGTTTTAGTTGAACTCCTGTAGGGTGGATTCGGATGTTGACAAACAGGAGGAGGGTCCTAGTCCTACCAATCGCCTTTCGGAGAGTCTAATGCCACACCAAGCCAAGGGGACTTTCTTTGCGGTAACTCCTGCACTACTTTATTCTACTATACCGGCAGCTCCAGTATCACAATATACGCGTAGCATATTGCGTATTGCAGTTATACTTTGTATTTTATTCTGTATACACATGTTTGACTCTTTTCTAAAGAAGTGATAGAGCATTCGCTCCATTCACTCCACCTTTCCATTATAAGCATTCAACATTTTAGGCTTCTTTGATGAACGAGACGCAAGTCAAGGATCCGAAGAGAGGGCAGTTAGAAGTGGCCGGCAAGGGTCGCAGGTTCGATGGCCGTTCAGTCGTAAAATTAGGGTTAGTTAAAAATAAGCAATGGTATGTAGTTAAGAAGATTTTGCGCGAATCTTAACAAAAATGAGCATATGCGTATTTTTATTCACAAAACATTTGTCTGTTTGAAGTGTAAAATTAAGTGGTGGCTTTATTGCTATTTTTTAACTGCAGACAAGGAGAGAAAAAAGGGAGTTCAATCGACTCATTTCAACCAAAGTTGCGTTCCAGTACTTGTCAGAACAAAGAAGGTGCCAGAGGTCGATCTGATAAGTCGAGCAAAATAGTTCTAAGTACATGTTCATCATCTGACTTTATTAATACCTATTTATTTTGTTAAAAAGTAAAAGTAGTCTTATATTTAGAGCTCCAGGAAATGGAGGAGAATCGGATACGCCACCTACAGGAGAGTAATGCACGTCGAGAACAAATTCGTTTAGCAAAGTTGGTAATAACTTCATTTTTTCTTGAAAAATCTTTTACACCACCCTTATTTCACTCATTTTTTGTCAGAAAGATCAGTTTAAATGATTTTTAAATGGCAATGCACTTAATTTTCACTTCCACCCGGTTATTTGATGAAGTGAGACTTATTGAATTTCCAGTCGTAGTTTGCGCTATAGCATTAATTATTCTGCAAAATAATGTCGCGTTTTCTAGAAAGGTTGGGCATTTGTAAGACTTATTCAAGTATCCCATTCAAATACGTAGAAACATGCATAAGAGCTTCATGTGGGTGGGCATAAGCGAATGAAGAACATTTGGCTCAGTGCATGCTACCTACACGGCATCCTCTTGTAATGTGAAGGATGTAGAAGAATCACGAGGGGGACGCAATATTCTGGTCTGAGATTATGGACCTCACAAATATAAGACAACGAGAATGCCATCTAAAATTGAAAAGGAAAAGTAGTTAACGCGACAGAATAAATGCACCAGTCTTCTATCAGTATGGCAGTTTAACTACTTACACATTAATAAGTAGAAATTTTACATGATTAAAAATGTCTGCATCTATTTTTCACGTGTCAGGAGGAGCCAAAAAACGCTCGCTGTTATACAGACGCGTCGCATTTCAACTTCAGCTAAATGCAAATCCAACGAATAAACGTTGGTGGTTGTACGTTCTATCCAGCTAAATAATAAAAGCCGATGACTCCAAGTGTTAAGTTGAAGTACGGCCTACTAGCAATTATGGGCTGAGCTATCCACTTGTTCTTAACGCGCTTGCATCTAATTCTGGCAATTCGCAGTTCTATTTGAATTGAAGGCTCGACTGAGAGAAGTGACTGATAGAGCACAGAAAGAGATTGAGGAAGAAAATCGAAAGAGGGCGCAAGAGGCCAAAGAACGTAGACTTCGCAAGGCAGAGGTAAGTGCAATCTGCCTTAAAAGGGGCGGAAGTACATGAACGCTCCACGCCATAGTCGTCGCTTTACAAAACAGTGAAATCTTGAAAAAGGCGCATTATTGAATAGTTCCTCCATTGAATGAGCGCTCATTGGACACCTAAAGGAAGATGGACCTCAGGATCTTGTTTATTTAAGGTCTCCCTTGTTGAAAAAATTACCACCTATAAATGTTCGACGTGAGTCACAAAAGTGTACAACGCAGGGAACATTAAAGTCTGCTTTGAGGATTGCAAAAAATATAAATAATATCCACTATCCTTCCCAAGATGAAAGGATGTCATGTATAGGGATAATAATTTATGCTCGGTTGACAATGCCTTTCAAGACTAGATATGGTTGTAAATTGACAGACCCTCCATTCGCTACATTAAGGTGTTCTCAAATTTCATCTTGCTCAAACTCAACCATTTTTTTGCTTATTTGTCTCGCAATTATATAGCACCAGAAGCGTACAGAAGCCCTGATGGCCAAGGAGAAAGCCGACGCAGCGAAATCTGACAATTTTCGGCGTTACCTTCGTCTCAAATATCACGGATTTTTCCCATGGATGAGATATATGCAACAGTTCCGCGATAATGTAGTCCGGGCCTGTCAGAGCAATCTTTTGCGACTACAGAGGTGAATTTAACTGATGCGCATTGACATTTATTATTGATACACGTATCTTCGGTCATTGAATCGCCTCGACAGGTGGCATTGCCATTGAGCTAATGCAGATGACTTTGTGGATTTTCAAACACAAAATATGTCCAATCATCCCGGCATGCAAAACATACACCTCAATTCTTAATTGCATTCACTGCATGCAATCCTGTCGCGTAAATCGTACATTTACCCTTGATGAAGTGGAAGTTATTTTGTTGTGACGATTGGAAGAATTAATGGCATCGACAGAACGACACTTATCCAAAGAGAAACGTGGAACGTATCCGGGCGAATTTTCGCGTACCCGAGTGTCCATTCATCCTTCTATTCATAATTGATAGTCTTTACTGCTCTTATTGCACATTTTTTCTACAAATTTTTGGAAAAGTTTTAAGTGCATGGTTGTTATATTACTAGAAAGCGTTTGTTGAATGCTGTTGTAGAGCGCCATTTCAAGCGTGGCTGAAAGTGACTCGGTGGAATTCCACCCGAAAGCATGCGATTGCGAGCGCCAGCTACTTCAGAATGCTTAGCAGAAAGGTGCTTTCAAACTTCATGCAGGTACGCCTTCACTATCCAACTTTTGAGAAACGATTCCATCAATGTATTCTAATTTGTTGTCTCAAGGACAACCTACTTTCTTTGCATTATCATTACACTTTTTGTCCCAAGAAGCTTTCTTTTTTGAAAAAGCCACTTTTAATTAGAAAATTAACATCTCACCCAATTTAAATTATAACGATGCGGTGGAAACTGCTTTCTGAGTTAGAAGGAAGCGGCTTTTGGTCTGTTTTCATAAACATTTCAAGAACTACCCTCCCTATTCCCCCTATATTATCAAGTTAAGTGTGGAAAAGCGTGTAGTTTTCGATTTCAAGTCGATTATGCTGTCTTTTTTTCTAGGATTTAAACTACCAAAGTGTGCCGAAGGTTAACAGCGTCAGATCGTAACCCTACTAGCAACATCTGGCTCCAATTTTCCGCATTGAATGATTTGCATAAACGCAAATGTTTCGTATTCGGGGCTTTCGCATGGCACTCAGTGATTGATTGTCGCCTCTTAAAACTTTCTTACAATGATAATAATAGTAGAAATAAATACCGTCGCGAATTTTTTCTAGCTTCTGTTGGCGCCCGATGAACTGGTGGGCAAGCCTTTGGCCTTCTGAACGCTCCAATTATCTTTTTTCTGTTTTCTCCACACTTAAGTGGCATCTACGTGGCTTGAAAATAACTGCCTGCATCTTATTTATGCTCTCACATTGTGCGTAACATTATTCTGAAGACAGGCCTCGTGGCCGTTTTTTCTACCCTGCATTTTTTCAAGGGTATCCATTAACCTTGACTACAAATTTGAAGCTGGACAAGGGGGTTGATGGCTTGGTTGTCCTTTCAAAAATTATTTTTAGGCTGTAAAACTGCGTCAACTCGCTATGCTGAATGCCTCAAATTTCTACGACCAAAGTCTGCTCAAGAAGTACATGCAAAATTGGATCGTCCATTACAAGCAGGTGGAGGAGGAAAATTCGGTGAAAAGTAAAATGGCTGTCAATCACTTTTCAAGGTGAGCTGGCCTCTCCATTACCGTTTTTCTTGACAATAAACACTGTTTCCAAATGCCAATAATCGTGAATCTCACCAAGTATCGGTAAGGAAAGTAGAAGAGCTGTTGCAGCATGTGTTAATATTCACGATTCTGTTTCTTGCACCAAAACTGGAAATGTATAACTTGATTGGGTTGTATGCCAAAGTCGATACCACTTAGTAACAAATAAATGCGAACTTCATCGATACCTTCCTTAAATGGTCATAAACCTGAATCAAGAAGTCTTAGTGAAGTGTATATCATAGAAATAGGTATTCTCCAATAAACTTACAAATAATGTGGCGCCCCGAGACTTCCCTGAAGGCAAAAGGAGACATGATGCCCTGGCAGAATGTGTAGTCAGCATACAGAAGGTCTTGGAGGCTACGGGCAAAGGTACAACTCCGGAGTCCTAAGTGAATCGTTGCCAAAACTAAGAGTTAAACACAAAAATGACCCGTTGCAATAATATCTAACAGTCGCTCTGATACGTTGCATTCATGGGGAAAATGAAATGCGGTCTCTAGTAGTGAATACTCCCAGAACGTGCATGTATAAATGCATTGGAGCACTACAATTTGGTCATTCACGAGCTGTTCCTGTCACAGCTGAATTCAGCTATTTCGTCTAACAAGGATGTACCACTGGAATAATCAAAATGCTATAAACCATTTTGAGTTGTGTCTAAACCTGCTCCGTATCCAATCCGTGATCGTCATATTTGTGGTAAAAAATGGCTTTATTTATCAGAACTAGACACATGGTGCTGCCATAATTACAAGGCGTTTCGATAGAAGAGCGCTCGTTAAAGCTCATAAACAATAGCTTAGTCGCGTATTCACGACTTCATTCGCTATAAAAACCCTTATAGCAACTGAAATTCATCAATTCCTCCTACTTGTGAAATGATTATAGGCAACAAATGTTTCTTTAAGTGGCCACCTCCCTTCAGTTTATTTGCGTGGTTAAAATTTGAACAGAAAAGCCCACTCGGAGTAGTCCAACAAGGTACAGCAGCTTGAAGCTATTTTCCAAAGGTTATTCAAATATCTTCCTCGTCTTTGAAATCCACCACAAAATCGTTGTGCGATTTGCGTGTCACTTACGGTGAATGCTCCTAGGCAAGGTCATGAAAATGGGGTAATTTAAACATGCCTCTAAAATAAGGACAATTTTGACCTTAACATGAGTAAGGCATTCTCACCCCCTTATGCTGGCTACTTTCCTTGAATATCGTGATATTCTGCTTCTTGGACGCCTTTTTAGCTGTCAAAATGCCAGTGAAGGGTCCCTTTGTCGCACCTTTGCATGTTCATTGCTTTCAGAACCATCCAACATAGATGCTTCTTGCAAATGCTTCAATATGTGTCAATTTCGAAGGCCGATAGAGAACGTGAGAGACGCCTGGCCAATCTTCGTCTCAAAGTTCTCCAGATCGTCCCCGACTTTCAGCCATGCGTACCTGTGGAATAAAGGTCCCTCCCCACCCCTCTCCTCCAATCCCTGACAATTTCACTACCCTGAATGTGCCTTTCTGTCCGTCCAAGATCCCACTCTATAATCTCTTTTCCTCAAGGTGAGAGCTAGACCAATGGCAGAGGCGCACTGTGCGCACGTGAGTGCGGAGGCGCGTACGTGTTGTACCGTGTCACCCTGTCGCCCCGTCTGCTTGTCTACCAATCCATGGCCAAGGGAAGGCGCGGGTGCGTGCCCTCGCTGGCGAAAGGTCAATAGAGCAGCCTGCGTCTGCCGCTACGCCAGTGAGGCAGTTTTCTAGTTGTGGTGTAAAAAATGCTAATAATTCTGGCGATGGTGGTGATTTCTAAGTTGGCTGCAAATCTTCACTTGGAACGGTGATTTGAGCCCTCATAAATTGTGTGCTGGACTTTGTGCATTTGCATTAGCAGTTTTAGTTGATGAATGCCTGCAAGGCGTGGTTAGGCACTTTATTGTATAAAACAACAAAAATGCCATGTCTTTGCTCTTATCCCCCTTCTGATCCACCCATATGTGACACAAAGTATACAAATAACACTACTGACTTAACTTGATGGTTGAAAATCGGATGAACTGATTAGATCATCGTGGTGATGGAGTGCATTTCACCTTCTCGTAACTCTTCAACATTCCCTCCCTAATAAGGCTTTGAATCTTCAACTACGAATCCGAAGACTATTTGAGTCGGAAATATTTTGAAACCAAATCCCTTATTGCACCAGCTCTTTTACGATTTGGACGTTGTTATAGTTTCATGCTAGTGCTTCTTCGCGCATTACGCAGTTTGTATCAAAAGCGGTTGGAAGCGCGTGTTCTGAAATGCTTGAATAGGCCCGATGTTTGCCGCTCCCGGTTTGCGTCACTTGAAATTACACTAATTAACACTTTTAAAAGACGAATTTAATCACTCCTATTGCATTGGACGAAGATGCTCATAGCCTAAAGTGAAATTGCACCTCATTTGGTGCAATTTTATACCTGTGTTTAAAGTCTAAGTAGTGTAAAAATCGGCGTTTTTTTTCTCTCACCGCTCCTCATAATCGGAAATCACATAGGGGCAGAAGGGGAAATTCGCTTTACTTATCTGAGCGACTTATTCTCCAGTTTTAATGCTACATTATTAACTGTTTGCAAGTCCAATGTCATCCAAAGTAGATAAATTTAATGAGCTTTGCCATGGATGCGTTTGTCAAAGGAGCACAGACTTGGTCTAGCACAAGTCAGGGTGGTGGTTGTGTGCTGCCGACTGTCTGGTGACTTATGCCTGAAGAGAATCAACAGAGTTGGGATTCCAGTAAATAATAAGGAATCGCGGTGTTAAAAGGTGCAGCACTGAAACGCCGACTGTTTACATAGTGATGCGACGGTGAGATAGCAAATTGTGTGGAGAAGACCAATGGCTGATACTATTGTCAAGTGTAAACCCAGGGACGTGTCATCTGGACCAGAAATTAGGGCCCATTTCTTTCAAAAAAACAAAAATTTCGATGGTTACAAACCTTTTAAAGGTGTAGCAGAGTATGATTCTATATGACTAGTCTGAGCAAAGCCAGTAGCAGTCGATTTTGTGGGAAGTTCTACCTGTTAAAGGACGACGTGCACACGGGCGCGTACCAATTGAAGGAGTTTGAAGAAAACCGATTGGAATGTGTTGAAAATGAGTGGAATTACACAGAACTGGGAAATGCGGCTCTTAGTTCATCCTGATCTGCAGCCACATAAGCATTGTAAAGCAATGACTTAACATGCGCTCAAATGTGTTTCACACTTCCGTCACGCCACCATAATCGAGAATGGCATGCCCTTACCCTCATTCAGCCCGTGCATTCACAAGAAATCGCCTTCAATACTGCCATGTAAGGTAGCGTAGACACGCCTCCACGCACGTTTATTTGCCGTCACAACTTTGGCAAATCACAGTGACGTCAACCGTCACACTTCAAGTAATTAATCGAATCAAATGTAGCCATCCATAAATGAAAAATGGAATAAACATCGTTTTTCGAGTGGGGAAGGCTAGTAATACTGTCAAAACGAAGACCAGCCAAAGTATCACATTCACAAAAAAGGAAGCGGAGAACCAAAGTTATTGAGAACGCAGAACCTCAAATGGGAAATAAGCAACGTTGAAAAAAAATAGAAGTACTGATAAATTTCCATGAAACCAAACTATCTGGCGGAAAGAGACATTACGTCTGAAAGCAAAGCGTTTGGGTAATCCAGCAGAGCTACCAATTCCCACCCAGCTGACAGAAAACCGATCGAAAGGCGCCAGTTTGTCAGGATAACAACTCCAGGAGACTTGAAGCACACATCTAGATACCCATGCGATTACAAGAGGCACCACTAACTATCTTAAATCTGTCAAACACAAAACACCACTTCGGAAATAAGTTTGTGCCGCGGAACAAGCCCATGATTGACGCAAGTATATCACTACCAGCCTTGCGATTGAAGCCTCACAAAAACAATGCGCAAATGCAAGCAAAGTTCAAACTTTATGCACGTTATTCCTTTTACATCTTTGTGGCATCAAAGAATTCGAGCTTCTTATTGCCAAGAACCTTTGCCGAGTGAGGTTCGCCTTTGGGAATTTCCAGAGCATCGCCTGACTTCAAGATTATCGATTTGCCGTACATACAAAACTCAAGTTCTCCGTCGACAACGACATCCATTTTTTCGGCATCATGAGTGTGTGTTCCGAAAACATTCCCAGCGCTGAAGGTATATGGAGTAGCAGAATAGCCCTGTAGATTAAAACAAGCACATTACTTCGACTTATATTAGCAACGGTTATTCGAATAAGCAAAAACGCACCATCTTTCGAAGTTTCTCCTTCATAGTTGCCCTCGATAAAACGCCATCCTCGGCTTCATCCCAATGGTGAACGACGAATTCCGGCATTATACGCTCTAAAATACCCAACAGAGAAAAATACAGATCCCGCAAATAGGCATCAATAGGACCGGGGAAATTCCAGAAGCAAAACTGGGGTTCAGTGCGTTATTTACGGTATCGATTAACGAAGGCAAGCCATAGCAATGCCTACCAGAACACGTAAGGACTGACCAACCAGTGCAGAGAGCGGACCTCCGCTTGACAAAGACGTAACCCTGAGACTGATACACTAAAACAACCGTGTTTGTAAAAAATGCAATCACAACTAATCGCGCTAAATTATCAATAAACTTTGTTTTAAAAATTTACTTTAGAGATATGCGTCCTGCCGGGGCGTGAAAATTAACTTCTTTTCTGAATGCCGATGCTGGTTCGCATGCAAACGCCTAGTACCACCACTATCAAGACTAGGTGTAAGTTGTCACCAAGAGACATGTAAAATTCAAGAGTGCAGAAGGCAGGAATTAAGCTGATGTTTTGGCGGTGGCTCTCGTCTATCCAGAAGAGCCGCATTAAGTCGTCATACTAGTCCATTTCGCCGTACGCTCCGTGCCCTGTTACTGCGTTCCGAGACTCCTTCGAGGATGAATGAAGGCATAATACTGAGGCAAAATATGTATCTGACATACAGAAGGTATTGGGGCTACTGACATGGGCCGTAGGCTAGTCTACTTTGGGTGGCACAAAGGCCAAGTCAATAGTGGCTCTTCACCAAAACTGAGAGTTATACAACCATCTCATTATGTAGCTTCTCTCCTCTTTTGAGCCTTGTCCTTGGTAATTCCCCCTGGTTAACGTCCTGTGCCAGCCATCACAACGCAGTCGGTACTGCAAGGAAACACCCAGTCATCAAATTTTTATGCAACTAAGGCGATACTTGCCCGCAACACCACTGCTCCCTGTTGGCAGTTCAACTATATCTGAGTTTCGTCCCGTTTGAGGACTTGATTCAAGGACAGAGGATTTCGCTGGCCATCATGCATGTTCATGGATAGAAGTAGGAATTCTGGCCTCAAAGCAGATTTGTGTGTGGGGGGAAGGAATTTAACACAGGTCGGTGAGGAAAGAGTTCAGCATCTATTCCTCTTTCCTACGCTAATCTCACTCCGGATCTGCCCATCCATATCTATTGGAGCCCTATGCAGCTAGTAGAAAAGTGGAGGAGGTATCGCTAGTTCACTTTGTCAAGAGCTTTATGTAGGTACGGTGGAAAACTCTGTAACGAAACTATTCCAGATAATTCACGGCCAGTGTTGCTTCATTTGTTAATGGTCTTCCTGCAGAACACGGAGCTGGGGTAATTGCCGAGGGTAGGCGTCAATTTTAGTCCTTTCATTTGGGGTCATCACCGATTCTTCCATCCATGGCATATGTACTACTTTCGCTTAGCTAAGGTTCATCATCCGGCAGTGGGAATCAGAATAGATGTCCCTTACGGTAGGGTTCGCTCACAGCTGCCATCATTGTGGCGTCCCGACACGTCTCTGAAGACAGAAGAATACATAAAACTTGGATGGAATATGTATATTCGGCATACAGAAGGCGTTAGGGCTACTGGCCTTGTCCAAAGGCCAGCCCACCCGGCGTAACAATTGCAACGTCAAAAGTGGCTATTCACCAAAATTGAGGGTTAAACAGCCATCGTATTGAACTATTCTTTCTACTGTAAGCTGTTGATGAAGTCCTTATCTTTCAATCGACTGTTTGATTAGACTCAGCTATTTCCCAAGAACAATCTTCTTACTCATTTTCATGTTATATTGCATGGAATAAATAAATCCCACTCATATGTGCTGAGTCCTCAGGAAGCAGCACATATTGATAAGTTCCATCTGTAGTTGATGGACACACACATAAAGAACGCAGCCTTGTAGGCATGAAATGGTGCATGTCTCAGGAGGAGTGTTAGTCGAGTAATAAGTAGATTGTTCAGAGCATTCATTTTTTATCCATTCGCCTAACGAATGTTGAAATGCAAGGCCCCGACTCATCATAAGTTAGCCTCTCTACCATCTATCACTAGAAGGCGTGGTGCTTTTTTATACTGTGAATGAGATAAGTTGGGGAAAGCTAGTGGAGAGGTATGTGTCAATGCATGGTAATCGTTTGGATAAGATCAGGTTGTCTGGTTGCGCTTTCTCAGGTGATGCAGCTAACAACGAATCGTCTCACCCCTTACGCAGATAAGCATGAGAAAAATTTGTCCGTGACACGTCAATCGCCGAGTAACCTGTCGAAAGAGATTTGCATATCTCCATGTTGATCTTCATGGAATACAAAGGTCCCTGTAAGGATTTTTCTGTGAGTCATGCATCAAAACATCAGCAGTGGATACTTCGGCAAAAATTCTTCAGAGCAGATGAACAACAGGAAGTAGGAAAAGGATAAAACACTGATCTAAAGCTTCATCATGCATCACATTTTATAGCAATCCAATTTTCGCTTGTAGGCCGACTTTTTTGCAGAAAGCATATCCTCTTTCGACCCTTAACCCTCATTCTTGATAAATCTCCACAGTTAAGTTTACTATGCAAGGGAATTCGTAAGCTATTCGCATCACGTATATCAGATTTATTGAAATTACGTACCCAGCTTTAGTTTATTACTCACAACTGTTTTATTGGGGATGACCACTGCAGCTGCGATGTTGTTGTTACGATTTAACAAATGAGGGGGTTGACAAAGCCAAAGAGATGACCGCTGATACACTTACGTCTACCCTGAAGGCATATACAATTGAATGGAATCCACATTTTCATCAAGTCAAGGTATTTATATGCTCACCATATTTACTGTTACAACCAAGCCGCCAACTGTTATAAACTGATGCTTGCATGCGTAAGTGGCTTGGATCCCACCGGCCGTCCCACCAGCTAACCAACGGATAATAATTCAGTCGAGTGAGTGAGGTCAGTACGTACGAGTCCAGTGGCAGAGGAGCCGTGACGGCCTGAGAGTGGATCTGTGTGTCGGTGAAATCGGTTACTCGTGCCTGTAGCAGCGGATCGACCGTGACCCTCGAGTGATTATTAACACACTCTAGAGTACGTCACTGCTTGAAAATGGGCAAATCAGGAAAGAATGAGCAAGAGCACGACTCTCTGAAATGTTCGAAGATTAGTAACCAACGGAAACTCCCAAAAAAACTCAAATGGGAATGTTGTTTCGGGGTTGCAGGCCTCCCATTACTTACTAGCCACTTGCTCTTTTCGCGTTTTCTTATTCGTATTAGTGCGTAAAGAGGTCTATGAGCCTTGCAGTCTCGCTACCTGCTGTGGCTCTATCCGATTACGCCTTGGCATTATTGTTGACTGTACCGAACGTCAGAAAATTTGCTGTTGTTGATGGAAGAGGAGGTTTTGAACAGAGTGCTCCACTCTGTTTGGCGTATAACCTTAGAACTCGAACAAGCCCCTGGTACACAACAATTCTAAGTGCACTTTATTCCTTCATGAAATGTCATTTTAGCATCCTATTTCAATGGAAAGCTCAAGGGTACTAGACGACCAAAAAGTTTCTTACGGTGTTCGGTCAAGCTGGCTGTAACGACCTATTGCAGCTATCCACAGATTTGTAAACCGCGTGTGATTGTTTATAAGCATGCGTTGCAAGGCACAAGTACTGTTCGTCCAAAGGTTATGCCTGTACTCTGAGCGGCTTACGATTAATACCCGAGTCCAAAAAACACTTAGCTTTTCTGATCAAAAAAAGTCACGAGAACCCAGAACACCCTAGAACCGAGACCTTAACGCTTGTGCCTTGTAAGAAGGATGATCACAAGCACTCCGAACTCCTGAATGAGTCGTATGTAGCAAAGGAAATCAGAAACAAAGTTTAGTCGGATACTCCCACTTTATTCTACTTCAAAAAGTATCGAAAGATCAAAACAAAGGCCAGGGTAACATTAAATGAATACCATTGATTTATTTTCACTATGAGCTACAAGATGACAAAGTTTGGGGAATCAAAGTTCGAATTAGTGTTTGGAGGCATCAAGAAAGCCGACATCTTCATTTCCAACCACATGAGCAGCGTGGACAGTGTTCTTGGGGACAAAAATTGTATCCCCAGCGGAGAGGACGACGGTTTTGCCATACATGGTGAAGGAAAACTTGCCCGCGGTGATTCCGTCCTTCTTATCGACGGCGTGAGTGTGATCGGGGAACGTCGTGCCAGGGGAAAAGGTGTAGGGTATCACTGTAAACCCCTCCTTCTCCAGCTTTTCTTTCAGCTTTCCCTCAGAGAATACACCGTCAGTATTCGCATCCCAGTGAGTGATTTTCAAGTCACCCATCTAGACGACCGATTTTATTGCAGATTGAATATCAGATACTCAAATACACAAGCAGACACACCTCCAATAATCTTTATTTCGAAATAAAAATACAAACATTCTCCCTAAAAATTAGCACTGTGGTATGATAATACGCAAGAGATCAACATTGGACTCCCAAAAGCATGCTGATCACGCAGGTCTTCCAAGTAAGGCGTTTCATCATACACCTCCACCCGGATAAGAACGAGCAAGGATGCGGTGACTGCCCAAGTGACATTGATTTTATTAAGTTCAAGCCATATGCATCGCAAATAAACCTGCGGACGCCTGCTAAATGAATGCTAATGGCCCCAGCTTGGGAGGCAGTTGCCGCACACAGAGGAGCCCATACGTTAAACAAATTATTCGGCATAATAATGCAGACCCTCTGCAAAGCGATTTAGAGGTTGCACTAACATACGACTGCCAGAATCCTGTGCAAATCTGAGGCTGCGACAACCGAGTAGGCTATTTCAACACCTACTGTGTCAAGGCCATATATTGTAG